AAGGTTTGCTTGCAAGCAAATTCAGTGCAGATTCACAGCAAGCAAATCTGAGAGACTGAGCTAGCCGATGGCAGATAGATAGATCACTGAATGAGTCTGAGCAACTCAATCTGCCTGCTTTGCCTGATTTTGTGTAAAAGTTGCTCTTATAAAAAATTCAATATTTATATAAATATTTATAATATTTTCATACAAGCCATGCCCAGCCAGTCACATGACCACCAAGCCATACCCACAAATTAGGCCATGCCCACAGAACCAGTTACTGATTCCTGGGATCTAAAATTATGAGTTTGGTGGTCCCTGAGGTCCAAAAGGTTGGCGACCCCTGAGGTAGAGTATTCCAGACATTGACCACTCTGTTGCTGAAGACGTATTTCCTGCAATCAAGTTTGGTGCGATTAACCTTGGGTTTGTATCTATTGTTTGCTCTTGTGTTGTTATGGTTGAAGCTGAAGTATTCATTGACAGGTAGGACATTGCAATGTATGATTTTATACACTATGCTTAGACTGGACCGAAGGCAGCATAGTTCTAGGTTGTCTAGGTTTAGAGTTTCAAGTCTGGTAGCATAAGGTATTCTGTAATGAGCAGAGGAGTAGAGAACTCTTCTTGGGAATATTTGTGGACTTTCTCAACTGTGTTAATATCAGATACGTAATGTGGGTTCCAGACTGATGAACTGTATTCGAGTATTGGTCTAGCAAATGTTTTGTATGCTCTAGTTAGTAGTGTGATATTACCAGAGAAAAAGCTACGTAGGATTAGATTAACAACTCTTTATGCCTTTTTGGCTATGTAGTTACAGTGGGCTCTAGCACATAGATCATTAGAGATGAGTACTCCAAGATCCTTGACAGAGTTTGGATCCTCAACAAGGTCTTGACTATTCAGCCTGTATTTTATTTTCTGATATTTTGCCAATATGTAGGACAGAGCATTTATTTGTTGAGACTTGAAGTTGTCATTTGTTTGTCCATTCTGATACATAGTCAAGGTCTTTTTGGAAGGTAGTAGTATTGTCTGTGGTGTTGAATTGCTTTACATCATCAGCGAAGAGAACACAGTTGCTCTTGATATGATCACAGAGGTCATTTATGTAGAGTATGAAAAGAGTTGGTCCTAGAACACTGCATAGGGGGACACCACTGTTGACAGGTACAGAATTTGATAGGACACTCCCAATTTTGACCATTTGTTGTCTGACAGGAATGCTCCTATCCAGTTATGCAGGTGTCCCAGCTTCAGCAGCTTTAATGGCTGCCTCTCCCCTGTGGGAAAAAAGGGTTTCTCCTGAATCGACAGGATGTGCCCTCCTCTGTCACTGTCTCTACGGGATGGTTTAGGTCCATTGGGACCGTCCTGCAATGGAGATATCAGCAGCCATCTTAGAACTTAAAGATCGCATGCTGTACCGCTGCGACGCAAGCTCCACCCTCTAGACTGATGAGCTGTATTCAAGTATTAGTCTTGTGGTGGTTTCTCATGGAAAAGATGAGACACAAGTGAGTGTTCTCGGGATGAGAGCCCAGAGCAAATTCCAGTGCTCCCTTTTATTGAGATTTTAGCATAGCAAGTATAGTCACATTGTGGATTACAATAATTAGATATAGTACAGACTTGTTTACAGTTGTCTGAGCTGCTTGATTGTTTCTAGTGTTTGTTTTTAATTTCCTTGCACTATCTCAGTGACCTTTAAGCAAGCATGTATGCATAAGGTCTTAGACTAATCATTACCCAATACCCAAGTCAAAGTTTATTCCCACAAGTCTAGCAAATGTTTTGTATGCTCTAGTTATTAGTGTAATATTACCAGAGAAAAAGCTACATAAGATTAGGTTAACAACTCTTAACATCTTTTTGGCTATGTAGTTACAGTCGGCTCTAGGACCCCCACATGCTCCTGGATTAAGAACTTTTTGACAAACAGACCACAGTCTGTTGGACTTGGCCCCCCAGCTTTCTTCCACTATTACACTCAGTACTGGTTCCCCCCAGGGTTGTGTCTTGAGCCCCCTGCTATATGCCTTGTACACCTTTGACTGCTCACCAAGCCACGCAACAAACACCATCATAAAGTTTGCGGACAACACGACCATGATTGGTCTCATCTCCAGAGAGGATGAGACTGCATATAGGTCAGAAGTAGAGAACCTGTCTATCTGGTGTTCACAAAACAATCTGTCACTGAATGTCCATAAAATCAAAGAACTGATTATGTACTTCAGGAAACATGGACAGGACCACACCCCACTCATCATCAACGGAGAACGAGTGGAAACTGTCCCTACGATCAGATTCCTTGGCATCCATTTTTCAGCTGATATCTCCTGGTCCCCTAACACCAAGGCCATAGTGAAGAAGGCTCAGCAGCAGCTGCATTTCCTGCAGGTTCTCAGGAAGAACAATCTGGATAAGAAGCTGTTGCTGGCTTTCTATAAAACCTCTGTGGAGAGCACTCTGACATACTGTCTGGGTGTGTGGTATGCAGGCTCCACAGTTGAGGACAGGAAAACTGTACAGAGGGTGATAAACACAGCTCAAAAGATCATTGGTTGCCCTCTGCCCTCCCTGGAAGACTTAGCCAGGTCCCGCTGCCAAAGCAGAATCAAGGCCATTATAGAAGACCCCTAAAAAACATCCTGGCAATTATCTTTTTGACCTGCTGCCGTCTGGATGGCGTTTTAGGTCAATAAAATCCCACACCACTAGACTAACAAATAGTTTCTTTCCCTGGGCCATCCAAACCACAAATAAACACAAAGTCACTACCTCATTAAGATGTGAAATCTCAATACCCCATTCAGATGTATAATAACATATTACAGTACAATCCATCTCTTGTGTATTATACTCGGCTAAGCATTACAGTCAGTGTTGGATGTATATTTTGTGTATATTCGTAGATATTGTACTCTCAAATTGCAAATGGAGATATGGGTACTCGATCTTTCTTATCTTCATTTTTAAGTGCTTTGGTTTTATTGTATTGCAAACAGTTGCTGGGCTGCATCCACAGTTTCGATGTACTTGCACAATGACATAAAAGTTATAATTCTAATTCTAGCAGTTAGGTCATTTGAGATGAGTACTCCAAGATCCTTGACAGAGTTTGGATCATCAACAAGGTCTTGGCTATTCAGCCTGTATTTTATTTTCTGATTTTTTTCTGCCAGTATGTAAGACAGAGCATTTATTTGTTGAGATTTGAAGTTGCCATTTGCTTGACCATTCTGATACGTAGTCGAAGTCTTTTTGAAGGGTAGCAGTATTGTCTGTGGTGTTGAATAGCTTTACATCATCAGCGAAGAGAAGATAGGAGGCCGGGTGTTCCACAGAGCAGGGGCAGCAGCAGAGGAGACTCTCTCCGCAGATCTCCCGACAAAGTTCTTTGAACCCACAGGGTCCACAACACACTTTCCTTATTTGACCTGAGGGGATAGGTTGATGAGATAGAGATAAGATTCCAGGTCATTTGGTTCCATGAAATTAAGGTTTTTAGAGGTAATAACTGACACCTTGAATGGCAACCTGGAAGCGCACTGACACCCAATGCTGCTTGCATCGCAGAGGTTATATATGCAGCTCGCCACTCTGAGGATGCCTAAAACGGCTCCTCCTGCTGCATCCTACACCGGCTGCAGGTTCTGGATGCTCTTCAAGGGCAGCAACATTGCAGTAGCCTATGGAGGAGAGGACCAGGGCATGAGTGATGGAAAGGAGAGCCTCTCAATCCAGGAAGGGGAATAACTGACCCACAACATCAAGTTAGGCAAAGGGCCTTCTAGCCACAACTGCCCTCCCCCTCCTCAAGCAGGAGTTGTGACTCCCCCAGGAAGTCCCCCATTTTACACACCGGATCCGTCTAGAACCAGAGAAGGTGAATCTTCAGAAACAGAAGATTCCACCTTAACAGGAGGCCTGTCCCACATCCAGCCCCCATAGCCTCCAAGCACATCTCTGGATTCGCCAGAGACGTCTTCTGCATCCTGATGATACATCGTCCCAGTGTGATGGATGATCTCACCCAGAGGTTTCATGAAGATGTTCAAAAGGGGTGGAGAGACCAGTGAGCCCTGCAGTACCTCTCGTTCCCCACCAGTTGAGACCAGCCTCAAAGGAAGAACAGGAACCAGCACAAAACTGTGGCGCCTACCCCCAGCTCCCAAAGCCCCCACCCCACCTGCAAACTCCTCCCTTCCTTGCTCCTGAAATCACTATTTCCAGAGTCAAAACAGCACCTGCATTCTCCTGGTTTCTCCTGGTCACCTGGTCAGCTTTTGCCATCTACAATCAGCAATAGACCCATCGCCTCCATTGACCTTTTCTTGCGACTGACACATTTGTGAAGGAATTGGTCTTCCTAAATTTTGCCTCTCTTGCCAACCTTTGCTCATTTTCTACCTTCGCCTTCCTGGCCTCATCCAGACTTTTCTGGAGAGGTCGCTGTTTGTATGGGACACCACCACCACCACCACCCCATTTTCTATAAGCATCTTTTCTTAGTCACGCTTTCCTTCTTGTGAGCTGCTTGTCCAACCACATCAGCTTCTTTAGATGATTTCCTTCTTCACTGACATCACCTGATGGGATGCCATCCGTGATTCCCATTTCGGAAAGTCCCAACTGCTGCAAAACCTTCGCTCTTAAGGTTTCCTTCCCAGAATACCTTATTTACCCTTTCTCTTGGTTTAGTCAAATTTGCCTTCCTACAATCCCCAGTTTCAGTTTTGTTTTTTAAAAAATCAGGTGATCTAAGAATACGTTGTACACATGAGAAAGGGAGGCAAAGGAACACAAAGGAGTTGTGTTGTGGGGGGCGGGGGGTAGGTGGGGAGGAGAAAGGCGGGGTGGTGGGGGTGCTGATGGGGCTGGTGTGTCTTCCTCCCTTCCTCCCTCCCTCCCTGCTGCTTGTTCTGGACTTCCCTCTTTTAGCCCAGAAAGAAAACTTGTGATTGCACACAGACCTCTTGCGCAATTCTGGGCATTTCTGGCTTACCAAAGAGAACAGGGCAGGGATGTATGGGGAGAGTGAATGAAAACGGGGTGCTGCCACTGAGTTGGTGTCGCCCCCCCCCCCCCCCGACGCTGGCATTTGGATGGGAGAATCTGAAGGGTCCAGGCTCACCTTTTGCCCTCCTCCAGACAGCAGGCAGACAAGGAACAGGGAAGGGGCCAGCCAGGGGGCTCTTTGGGCTTTCCCCCTCCTGGAGCTGGAAGGGGGCAGGCCGAAAATGAGTCTTCCTGGAATGTGCGGTGGAGGAAACTGAGCTGGGGGGAGCTTACAGCACGCCAGGGGAACAGCAGGCAGTCCTGGCACAGCCACCCACAGCAGAAGCAGCCGCCTCCATGGAGCTCCCAGAGGTATGGGCAAGTGGGAAGGAAGGGGGATGGCAACGGTGGGGGTCACCTGCCAGGACCCCACACTTTCTGGAGAAGAAGAGAGGGTAGAATGGGGGGGGGGTTTCTGGCCCAGCTTCCAACCACTTTTGATGCCAACCCCCCCTCCCCCATCCCCCCCTCTGTTCTTTGGACGGGAAAGTTCTCAGCACTCTGGACAGCTGGGAAGAAAAGCCACTCCTCCGACTGCCACTTTGTCACCGTGGAGGAAAAGGAAGGCCAACAATGCCCCCCCCCCGCCCCCCGCCAGCCTCAGGGTCTTGGGGGTGGGCAAGTAAGAGCTGCTTCTGATCCAGCTCTGATCCTGACCCTTTTCCGTTCTCTGGGACTTCATTTGAAAAGTTCATGGCTGTTGCCATGTTGCAGCTGCCAGAACAAGCCTACGGATTCCTGCTTTTCTGTACCTGGGGTGTGTGTGGGGGGGGGGAAACCGTCAGCAGCCATGGTTTCCTCAGGAAGGTTTAGGAGAAGCTTCAAAAGGTGAATATCGCTTATCGTTTTCCTGGTGGCCTCTGGCCCGTTTGTCAGGTGAAGCCCAAAGCACTTGTGTTTTTCCCCAAACACCCGGACTTCATCAAAGCTCTTGGCATCATTGCTAAGTCCACAGATTTAATTCACCACGCTGAATGACAGTGTCATACTTGCAGAAATTCGATCTCTTCCTTATAGAAGACCCCCCCTGCGTTCTTTGCCTCCTTCCTCCAGGCTGCTCTCATTACAAAGCCTGTGTGTTGCCAAACAACTGCATTTTGTGGTAACGGAGGGCGAAGGACACTTCTTTAATTTGCTTTTTTCAGACTTCCTTGGCCAAAAGCTGCGTAGGCACAGATGGCTTGGATAGGAGGCAGAGCGGCTGACAGGGCTTTCCTTTCCATTATGGAGACCTACCTTTTGTAAGCGTCTTTCTTCTAGTCTGAGTAAAACGAAGTGGGGCATTGATCAGAGGGATAATGTAATAACTCCCCAGTTGCTTAAAGACATGCCACAATAGATGAGAGCACAGCTGGGCGAGGAGTGGAGGAGGAGGGCCAATTCCTATCACAAATGGTTGAGAGATCTGCATGTGGACAGATGGCCCTGAACGGGTCCAGGATGCGAATGACTGCAAGGAACCACAGTGGCTCCTGGCATTGGAGTAGAGGTCCTTCCAGATCGTTGAGTCACTCCTGAGGCTTAAACTCATTTATGGCAGCTTTGTGCCACTTGGAGGAATGTGTGCAACACCTGACAAAAGTGCTCAGATTTGCTCTTGTTTAGAGACCAAGCATCAGATAATAACCATTAGAGATGCCCGGGGAATAGAGTTGCACTTTTATCTGGGAGCAATGTGATCCTGTTGGACCTGAGGGAATGGACCTGAGGAAGTGTCAGAGCAGCCTCTTGCTTGTTAGACTCCTGTCCCTCCTGGTTAGTGGAAGTTTGTAGGAGGGAAGCAACTGAGCTGGAAGGCGGGATTAAATGTGTCATCAGTTTGGAATCATTGTGTGGCCACAAGAGACCCAGGTCCAGCCTCCCCCGCCCCTGAAATTCTGTTGTCCGTATCTTGAGCCAGTTTAGCTTTGTCCATTGGTTGACTAGATTATTTTGTATAAATAGCAGTAATAAACTCTTCTATGCTTTGAACTCAACAAATGCTCTCAGTTACCTGCTTCCAGGATGGTGACTTCTGCATGGGTGCAGGCAATGATTAATGTAGTAATGTGATTAATACAACACATCAGGAGGAGTTGCTGGTGGCAGCCATCATTAGACCCTCACTCTGGAGGACAACTTTAGTCCAATTTTGTCCCAAGAGTGGTTGCACGACAGCTCCAGTGTCAATTCGCAAAGCATCCCTGAATGTCAAGTTGTCATGGGCAAGGGGGATGGGTGTGCGAACTTCACTGCTGCATCAAGGAGCTGGTATCTCAGCCAAAACAAGGCACATTCCATCTGATATGCCAAGGTCGTCTCCACAGGAACCCACAGTGGCCAGAGGGCGGGACTTTTACAATCCCAAAATTGCTTTGTTAGGGAATGTGACTGATGACACATATTGAGGGGAGGGGGAAACAGGGTCAGAAGTAAAGCGTGAATTAACTGAGGTCAGAGTTGGCTCCACCAACTCGCTCTCCTTGACCTCTCAGCGGTTTTTGATACCATCAAGCATTTGGGGCTGGCTGCAGTCTTTGGGATTGGGCAATGCAGTGTGGCACTGGTTTGATTCTTCTCTTCGTGGCTGGTTCCAGTTGGTGCTGACAGGGGGTGAGAGATCCAGCTCAAACTGCTGCTCTGTGTAGCACCAGGGGGCTCAGTGCGCTCTCTGCGGTCTTTGGTCACGAAACCCACTGGCTGAGATCATGTGACACCAGGGGTTGAGATAGGCTGCTCAGCGCTGTGTCTCTATCCTTGCTGACCCAAGTGATGCTGTAGCTGCCCTTTCATGGTGCTTGGAGGCCATGGGCCTCTCTGGGGGAAAACAGCCTTCGACTGAACCCTGGTACAACAGCTGTGAATATGTGGAGTCTTGGGATCCAGAGATAGGATAGGATAGGATAGAATAGGATAGATGTCAGATCCATGTATCTGTCATTTCTTCAGTGGAAGAAGAAAAGGGGGGTGGGGGAGAGACTGATAAAGAAATCCTTTCTTGATGTAACCTGAATATATTTAATCTTATATCAAATTTGTATAACCCAAGCATGATACAATGGAGAGGAAAAAGCCAGATGGCTGGAACCTGTCACCTCTTAGAGGCACAGCCAGGAGATGAGAAGATCATACAAATTCCACAGTGAGTTGTGTCCTAGGAATCTCTGGAAAAGTTTGTTCTAAAAAGGGGGTGGGGGGGAATTAGGTATGCCCTGAGAAACTGTGAAAAATATTGTTTCTACAGAAGGGGTGGAGGGGGGAATTAACATACTGGCTTTTGTTTCACCAAATACACATCAAGATAAGGGGAGGGGTTTCTGAACTCCCTTATCTATCCCTGTATGCCTGAGGGACCTCAGATGCTGCTTTGAATTCCTACATGAATTGTCTCATCTCAATAAAGGATTCCTTTTGATACATTTGGTGTTCAGAAGTTCATTCTGGTTAATTGAATGGGAAAATAGAATAGAATAGAATAGAATAGAATAGAATAGAATAGAATAGAATAGAATAGAATAGAAT